ACTCTATAGCGTACTCGGCCACGGTCCGTGAACCCTGATGCATGGTCATGAGCAGCTTGGCCGCCGAGGCGGAACGAGCCGGTATGTCGAATACCCTACGGAAGGCATTGACAAAACCGGAAAAATCTTGAATCACCGGGTCGTTCCTCTCCCATAAGGGATTTGCCCAGGCCAAGGCCTTGTCTGAGAGTAGTGAAATTAGGAACCCCACCTTTGACCTCTCAGACGGAAAGGCGTGGGGTATTAATTCAAAATAAATACCCACCTGGTTGAGGAACCCACGACACTGACTCGGCTCACCCCCAAAGCGCTGTGGAAGAGGGGCAGAACCAGTCATACCTCTGGGCGCCGCTGATGCAGCCGTCGAGGTGGTGGACGCAATAGGCGGAGAAACAGCGGGAGAGACCACCAGAGCAACTACCGGCCTAATAGCACCAGGAGCAAGGTGTGCAGTGCGTGTAAGCAGAGTTTGCAACGCCTGAGCGAACTGATCCAACAGGTGATCCTGTTGATCGAGTCTGGCGACTAGTATTGGGAGCGAAGGCGTGCCTGCACCATCAGGGTTCATGGCACTTGTGTAATGTCAGGGCAGGAGCTGAGGAACGGACAGGCAGGCCTAACAATGTAACGCACTGGCTGACGACAACCACCACCCACAGACCGAAGTCCCTCAGGGCGCGGAATCTAAGTCCCAGGCTGCCCTTCACCAGGGCCCCTGATGGTGGGGATGGACTTGACGCAGCCTGGAACCAGGTCGCGGCCCCCGAGACACCTCAGCTGCGGTAATGGCCGCCGCCAATGGCGTGTAGCTGGTGGAAGAGACAAAAGAGTAGTCAGACAAGCCGGGGTCAACAACAACAGGACAAAACAGTACAGGACAGCAGACGAGAATCACAGGTCACGAGCCGGGTTCAGCAACAGAGGGTCAGATCAAAGGAGAATACAAAGAATAGTCAAGTAACAAGCCGAATCAGATACCAGGAGAGTAACGAGAGTCAGAACAGAGTAATAGCAACACAAAAACACAAGACACAAGTGCAAAGAGCATGTGCGGGCCACAGGCTTATATGTCATCAGCCACACCCCTCTGGGGATGATGGACCACAGAAACCTGAAGGCATAAAAGGATTCCCATCATGCACAGCAGAATCCAAGATGGACGCCAGCACATGGAGTAACATAACCTCAGGGAAAAGGTAGGACCTTGACACATGCACAACCTTCAGTCAAGAGGAGTGGAGACCTACCTTGTGCTCTGACTCACACTACACAGCCACAAGGCCTTTGGCAAGGGGAATACACCACTACAATGCAACGGAGATGTCTAAGAACCCCAACACAGTGGTTCCAGACTGGGTCTGTCGGAGGCTGACTACCCACCAAACCTAAATACAATGAGGTCACAGGTTTCTCTGGTGCATGGTCCAGAAAGGAGACCCGTCAGCACTTCCAGGTGAGCTGACACTACTGACCACCACCAGTCCCCTGCCTGTTTCCACACCCACCCCTTTTTTCCAGGTAAAGGCAACTAGATTGACAATGCTCAGTGTGCTACTTGCTGGAACTTTTCTTTACTCTGGTTACTTGGTTCTATGACCAATGGTTGATTCTATATAGTTCTATGCCCACTCCAGGGTTCTAATTCTTTCAACGTGCTCCAGCTTCCTGTAGTTATGTACATATAGTTACATAGTTAGTCTGGCTGAAAAAAAGCCAAAAGTCCATCCACAGCTTGGCATTGCATGCAGTTATTAAGCTTGTGATCTACCAAAACTCCCAAATCCTTCTCCACCATTGATTCCCCCAGTTGTACTCTCCCTAGTATGTATGATGCATGCATATTCTTAGCCCCCAAGTGCATACCTTACATTATCATTATTAAACCTCATTTGCCACATAGTTGCCCAATTAAACAGTGCATTGCTTGTAAGTTGGAGACATCCTGAAAGGACGTTTTTCCCACTGCACAGCTTGGTGTCATCTGCAAAGACTGAAATGGTATTTTTAATCCTAGACCCTATATCGTTTATAAATATATTAAAAACTTAGGGTCCCAACACTGAACCCTGGGGTACACCACTGACAACCCTAGACCATTCAGAGTATGAATCATTAACCACTATTCTCTGAATATGGTCTTTTAGCCAGTTTTCTATCCATTTACATATGGATTTTTCCAAGCCCGTAGACTGTACCTTACACATTAGCCGGGTGTGAGGAACTGTGTCAAACACTTTTGTAAAATCCAAGTATACCACATATCCACTGCCACCCAAGCTTTTGCTCACCTCCTCACAAAAAGAAATCAGATTTCTTTGACAACTTCTGTCTTTCATGAATCCATGCTGTTTGTTGCTTAAAATATTTTTTCCAGCAAGAACTCATCTATGTGGTTTTTTATTAAACTCTCCAGTATCTTCCCAACTATAGAAGTTAAACTAGCAGGTCTATAATTACTTGGTAAAGATTTTTGATCCCTTTTTAAATATTGGCACCACATTGGCCTTACGCCAATCCAGTGGTACTATCCCAGTCATTAAAGAGTCCAAAAAAATTAGAAACGATGGCTTTGAAATGACAGAGCTCAATGTTTTAAGGACCCGTGGGTGTATGCCATCCGGTCCAGGTGCTTTATTCACCTTTATTCTGTCTAAATATTTTTGGATAATATCAATTGTGAGCCAATGTGGATCATCTGGAGCTCTGTCAATACCATGCCCATTATGGACAAGAGCTCCCCCCATGCTTGTATACACAGAGCTGAAGAAGGTATTTAATACATTTTCCTTCTCTTTGTCCCCAGTCACCCACTCTAGCTTATTTTATAAAGGGCCTACATGCTAAGACCTTTTTACTATTAATATATTTGAAGAATTTTTGGGGGTTGGTCCTGCTATCTTTTGCAATCTGTTGTTTGTTTTCAATTTTTGCGGCCTTTATTTCCTTTTTGCATATTCTGTTATATGCTTTGTAATGTTTAATTGATGATAGCGTTCCTTCATTTTTATATTTAAATAAAAGCTCTTTTCTTATTATCTATATATCTATATTTACCAGCAAACCACGAATCTTGAAATAGAGTCCAAAGATTTTATGCAATAATGATTATATGACTGTAACCAGACTGAAAGGAGGCAGGGGTTTGTCAGACATTCTACTTTACTATAAAGCCCTGCATCTTGCTCATGTTGTTAGTTGGCGTATCCAGAATAAGTTTAAATTGTGGAAGGAGATAAATCAGGGCATTTTCTTGTTCTGTTGTTCTGTGTTCCATGGATGTTGCCTTATATATTCCATCCCTTGTTGCACACATTTGATGATAGGGGCTACATTGAAGGTCATGGTTTCGACCTTTCCTTTATTGGTCTCCCTCTCCTGTGATACCCTTTCTGAGAAACTTAGAGACTCTAAGATGCAAGCAAATTTCAGCTCTTACATTTCCTCCATACCTACTGAAATGTGAGACTGAGATGGGTATGACTTGCTCCCCTACTCAAACTGAAAGAGTGAATACATTTCAAGAGAAGGGATACAAAATATTCCCATGATGATACCAGGTTCACGCAGTTTTCTATAGAATTTTTCTGCAAACATCCAAGCTGTGTTGGTATTGCATCTCTAAGGAGATGCAAATATTTTGGAGGTGGCCGAAGGTTTGCTCATTTTGGGAGAGGGTCAGACAGTTTGTGCTCCAGATTACATCGGTGGATCTGGGCCATCAAGGCATAAGCTATTTACTACACTTGAATAAGATACTGCTTACCTGATATACTGTAAGTTTTCATTAACAATCCACCTCCTAAATGGTGCCAAGGCATGCATTCCAGGCCCTTTGGAAGCAGCCGACTACCCCCCCAGTCTGGCCAAAGTGCGGCTGGCCAAAATAAATGATATTAGGGACATGGAAAGCCTAACAGTTTCTCTACACAACAGAGAAGAACATTTTCATAATACTTGGTACTCTCGGATGGCTCTTATATGCTCCTCTGTGTACCAAAAGCTGTTATGCCCTTCTGAGTAAAGCTGCCTTACTATACATGAGGAATACCCCATGGCTTGTCCTCCAGGATCGGATTAGAAAGTGCACCTATAGGACAACTGCAAAGTGTGCACAACTGACATATAATAGTCTGGGGTCTCTTGCCCCTGGTGTCCCTTTTGAAGAGGGAAAAACTAAATGGCACCCCAGACCCAACATGGGCACCAAAGGGGTCTTACAAATATTTTTTTTTGCACAAAAAATTTTGTACTGTTATTTTCCATGATACATTTTTCATCAATGCTCTGATGAAAAAAAACACATTCAAATGCACTACAGCATATTATAAATGTATGCTTTAATTTTAAATTATATAGAATACATTTTTAAAGACAGCAGTGTAAATTAGCCCTAACTAATAAAATGCTAAACTCCTCTGAGCTAAAGTATTTATTCTGCACCTGTGCTGGTACTCAAGTTGAACTGTTTCACCCCTGAATTCTACAACAGTTTATCCACCCTGGGTCTAGGCATGTAGCAACTTAACCCAATCACTAGAGTGGATTGATTTATTGATTAATTTATATTAAACGGAATAAAGGTATGTTGTACTTTGCACGTCTTTGTGTCATTAGCAAAAAGACATACCCTAAACACCAAACCTTCAGTTATATCAATTACAAACAGATTAAATACAACAGGACCTATTACAGGGCCTCATGGTACACCAACAGTGACTGGTATCTGTTCCAAATAAACCCTTTTACAACAACACTCTGATATCTATCCTGATAATTGAACAGCCTCTACTTCTTTAGTATGTCAACCAAACTGTCTACCACAATCTATTTTACCCCCGTAATCATCAATACTGAATTATATTAGAAACACATAACACGGCCAATCATCAGATTTTTAACTTTAAAGGAAACACAGAATCCAGGTCTTGGTATACAAATGTGGGCTTTTGTGTAGAGAAACCCTAAGAAATACATGCAATAGTTTGGATTAAACAACTTACCATAATCGTATGGTTTGGAAATTTGTCATGGACAGTCTTCACAAATTCTACAAAGTGTTCTGAATAACCATTTGCTACATCCAGACAAATGTATCTGATAAGAGGAATGGCTTCCAGGATGCTGCTTAGTTTATCCAGGTCTGCTTGACTACTCCCAGAGCTGGCTGCTACATGCTGCAAGAGAACCACATTAAGACAGTAAACAAAAAGGAGAAAGAGAACAGGGAAATAGCCCACTATACCCAACAAGAAACACTAGTTTCCCAAAGAATGTTAGTGCCATAAAATTTAGAAAGTGGTCTCATGGGATTGCAAACCACTGGAACCCTTTTACTTTAAAGTGATATTAAAGTTTTTTTTTTCAACAAACACACAGAGACTTATACAGAGTAGCCCTGATCCTCTTCTTCTGGGGTCCCCCACCAGCTCTCCCCCCCCCCCCATCCCACCAAGTGCCCCCATAGCAAGCTGCTGCCTGCTATTTGGGCACTTGTGCGTGCTCGCTCCAGAGCCCTGCTCTGTGCGTCTCATCACAGGCTCTAATTGACAGCAGTGGGAGCCAATGGCTCCTGCTCCTGTATTTGAGTCAATCAGGAGCAAGAGAGCTGAGAGAGGCTCAGCTCTCGTGCACATCACTGGATCAAGATCAGGCTCAGGTATGTATTGGGGGGGGGGGGGGCTACAGGGGTAGCTGCATGCAGAAGGTTTTTTGCCTTACGTCAAACGCAGTAAGGTTACAAAGCAGTAAAATAAAAAAAAACCCATAAGCCTTTAAAGCCACTTTAAGTTTAAGTTGAGTTTCAAAGCAGTTTTAAAAACCTAAAAAGCAAACGTAACATATTGCAGCTGATTGATTCTTAGGTGTGATGGCTGCATTCATTTCTTTGGTTTTCTTTCCTTTATTTTCACCTGCTGATCTGGCAAGTAATCTGCTGTTTTTCAGCAGAATAAGCTCTCCTGAAAATGCTGCAGTTAGAGGCTGGAGACAAACCATTTCCCAATGAAATGGGTGCTTACAATGATCAGCTTCTATTTATTCATGCCAAACATTTATCCCCCCCCTCTAAACAAAAATGTTGCTGTAACTGCAGTGTTAGCTGAAGTTTGGCTTCAATTTGTTAGTGTATCTAAATCTGCTAGTACATCTAACACTCCTCTCCCCCCAGAATGCTGCTGTTCCAAAGGTGCCTCCTGTGCTCCTTCATCCAAAGTGGAGGCGCTCTAATACAGTAAGTGTGTTACTGGCCAGATCACCAAGTGAAAACAGAGGGGAAAAAAAACGAATCCAGCCACCACATCTAATGATTGACAAGCAGAAATATATTACACTTATTATAGGTTTAATACAATGTTATCGTTGTTTCTAGGCAGTTTCTTGTACTTGGCTGTTTTTGGTTCTCCCTTTTGTCTTTTTCAGGTCACCCTTGTTAGCTGTCTCTCGGCAGAAAATCACCTAACAGCGGTCACCAGGTAGAACTGTCAGTCTCCTATCAGTTCAGATTGACCCTGGACTTTCAGAAGGAAAACCTGGCAAGCAATCATGAATCCAACTCACCGTTAAATATTTTTTCTTCTGAGGCTCCTGTTAGCAGATCAATCTTCAATCAAGCTAAGCTGTCCTGCCCTCCCTTCCTTAGTCATGAATATTTCTTGTTGGGGGTATTGTCATCCGCATTTGTGGGTGGACACTGTGGTTAAATGCTTTAATGGACTGGTTACATTTAGCTGGAGTCTTGGTGACAGAGCTTTTGGTGTTTAGTAATTTATTTTAAAAGTTTTGGTGTGTTTATTAAGTATTAAAGTTTTGGTCTTGTTGTTAACTTTTATTATTTTATTATTTTGTTTTATTAACTTTCTTTTTGGGTTGCTGTTTTTGTTGTTTGGGTGCCTTGTGTGCTATGCCATCCCATGTATCCTAACTATACGACTGCACAGGGAGGTATAACATATTGTTCTATATGAATGGTATGGCATATTTACTGTATACTATCCACACTACTAAATGTACTTATTCAGTTGTCTATATAAATATTAAAAGACATTATAAACCTTCCTAAATGCAACATGTATTTTTCACCTGCAAAAGATGTGTATTGATCTTGTAGCTTCATGGTGTCATTTGTTGCCTTGTAGGCACAGCCTATAGTAAAGTATATCTTCACATTCCAGTGTCAGAAGTTTCTGTTTGTGTTCAAACATGAGGCATGCGGCATGGGACTTTAAAGATTCCATGCTTTAAAGCAACGGTCTCCGAAAATTTCTAAACAAAGGGCCAGTTTACTGTTCTTCAGTTTTTAGGGGGGCTGGAGTGGCCAGTGGAAATAAAAAATGCCCCAGTGTCAGTGGGTGTAAACAATGTCTCGGGCTTGAAGAAGGAATAGTGCCCCATTATTGGTATTAGTGGGAGGAATAGTGCCCTATGATTGGTATCAGTGGGAGGCATAGTGCATAACTGTTTATATCAGTGGAAGAAAAAATGCCCATTGCTGGTGTCAGTGAGAGATATGATTCCCCACTGTTGATGTCATTGGAAGGAATGGTGCCTACTTGTTGGTGTTAATGGGAGGAATAGTGCCCCAAGAGCCAGGAAAAGGCAACCAAAGAGCCGCATTTGGTCCACGGGCCGCAATTTGGAGACCCCTGCTTTAAAGGTTAATGCATGACCTCTGTCTGTAGTCTAAGAACTGACATTTCCTGAGAAGAAACTACACATCCCACAATCCCTGGACCTCTCAGTTAAATGCGCCCTAACCAGGGGCGGACTGACAACTCATGGGGCCCCCAGGCAATAGGGGATCATGGGGCCCCTGTGTCCTTGCCCAAACTCAAAAAAGCCTATGAAAAAGGTACCAGGGGCATCTCATGGGGCCCCCTACTGACCCCGGACCCTCGGGCAGTGCCCGAGTTTCCAAATGGTCAGTCTGCCCCTGACCCTACACACAATAATTAGATCTGACAAAGACAGAGCATTTAACAAAGAGCTCAACTTGCTGGAATAGACGTGTTTTCATCACATTAGCACTCCCATGTTTGTGATGCAACACAGAAAAATGGCAAGGCAAGGATCGGACACTGTGCGTCCCGGAACAAGAAGTTGCCGGTCTCTCTTCTGAATAGGGACTGGCTACCTGCCGCAATAGATGAATATTGAGGAATCAGTCAGCCATGATACTACAAACTGAAACCACAGCACGTGAGCCCATCATTACAAGGTAAGGCAAACACAGGAAATATAACTACAACAATAGCTAGTTAACACAACAAAAGCATTTGAAAATGTACAATGCCTTTAAGCCTGGGTTCACACTGATGCGGTGCGGAAATCACAGCGTTTTCTGTGAGAATTCCGCACCGCATCAGAACTGCACCCCGTTCATGCGAACCGTTGCGGGTGTGTATGTTAAGTTAACAACACCCTGAAATCAGTCCGCAAAACGCGGTGCGATGTGCAGAATCGGATCACATGGGTGTGAATACCCATGCGATCCGATTCTAGTGTGGACCAAAAAAAAGGCTCCTGCACCTTTTTGGTGTGGATGAGGTGCGATTTGCCATACAAAATGTATGGCTCAAATCGCACCGTTCAGAATTCACATGTGATTTGCACAGGAATGTGGCGGTTCCTGTGCAAATCACATGCGATATGCCGCACCGCATATATGTGAACCTAGCCTAAGGGTGAAGGAAACACCTCTTTTAATGCTACAGATTTATATGGAAGGAGTGCTGTTGAGTGGTTCATGAATGAAATGTTGTACAATATGTCAGCCACGTTGTTCTATCGATAGCCTGGGTCAAAAGACCAGCTAGTTTCCTATGAAGCTGTTGGCTCATAACAAATTCCTATAGAGATTAACCTTATTTAACAAATACCACGCAACGGAGCTTACTCATACTTCATACGTAGGAATACATCCTAAAATACCTAGTAGACACAGCAGGATCTGTCCTACAGGAGAAATAGTGACAAGCAAAATTATGACTAAAACAGGAAACTGTCTGTTAAGAAAAAGTAAATAACTGACTCTTTTTTTTTAGCAGCATTCAGAAATTCCAGTTGAAATAATACAAAAATAAACTGTAAAGTAGCATTCATCTGATACTAATGGCTTCCTACCAGACACTGGAAACACCAACAAACAGTGATTTAATAACTTCTTACTCACTATTTATTTTATACCCAGTTTTAAGTATAAGTATCAGCTGAACAGATCTCAAAACTTTTGCAGTCTGTGCTTTCACCTTTTGTAACGTTACGTGTTCAGGGCAGAGGCGGACTGACCATTGGAGCACTCGGGCACTTCCCGAGGGCCCGGGGTCAGTAGGGGGCCCCATGAAATGCCCCTGGTACCTTTCATTGGCTTTTTCATAGGCTTTTTTGGGTGTGGGCAAGGACACAGGGGCCACATGATCCCCTATTGCCCAAGGGCCCCATGAGTTGTCAGTCCGCCCCTGGTTCAGGGTATAATATGTAACATGTTACTGTTGCAGCAGCCCCCGCACCCCCTGGAGAGCCCTCGTTGTGACAGCGGGCCAGGGATCCTCTCCCTGCACCCGCTGTCACAATTTTAAAAAACTTGGCATTCATTCATAGAGTTCTGTGAATGGGAGAAGTACCGACAGCCCTTGCTGCTGACGACTTGTAGTTCTCAATGAACTACGAGGGCGCTGTTGAACTCTCTAGGTAGTTCATTGATTCTTCCTGTCAATCAGTAACTGCCTGCCTGTATGTCTGCAGGAGACTGAGAGTGCACCCGCGATCTGCTGAATGCAAGTGCAATGCTTTGCAGGCTCCTAGTAAAAAAAAAAATAAATGTTCATCTTTTTACCTGCAAAAAGATGCGCATTTATTATTTTTGTTTACAAAGTTGAGCTTATCTTTTAAAGGAGGTGCATAGTTTTTTCTATGTTTTTCCAACACTAATGTTTTTCACATATAAAAGTGAATGCTCCTAACCATACCCCAGATGACGTCAGATATGACGAAACACATAGGGTGGAGCCGAAGTTTGTGATGTCATCACGCACCTCAAGACCAGGAAGAAGCCCAACTAACCCACTGGACTGGTGGATACTATATGATTTTACATTTTTACTTTGTGAGTATTTAGTACATTTTAAAAAACTTTATCTTGCGGTTTTACACTATGTGGTTCCTTTGGCTCTTCTCTTACCATATGGTGGAGTCTTGAAGGAGGATGCTTGGCTGATGGAGTAGTCGGGCCTTGAGGTGGCTCATACTATCCATTGTGGGACCTTACAGGTATAGATGCGATCTTGACTCTTTTACTTCTAGAGCCAATTTATTCTGGTAAGTGTGTTTGATAGAGCATGTGGTGATGGATTACTGTGGTGGTATATCACATGAAGAATCACTGCAATCTGTGGATTTTCATTTTTTGTCACTTTTGGAGTTCTTTATTTTTATGGACTCACTTATATGATTTGTTTTTGGTGAAAGTCATTTATTGAATTAGTGCAGCACTTTTATTTACTTTTATATGGGTCATTTTGTATCGATTGATGTGCTAGCAGCTTCACTAGTCCTCTGAGCATGATTTCTTTTCTATTTGTTTTGAATGCTGCAAACAATGCATGCCAATGTTCTAGAAAACAATAAATAAATTGTGCAGCACTTAAATAACTGAAGCACAATTTATTTATTGCTTCTTGGAAGTTTTTATCACTTTGGTGCTTGCAGCTGCAATTTACAGAGACTGGTGTGCAAATCTTATTGAATACTGAATGTTTTAAAAACCTTGCCTTCATGTATATTTTGTATTTATGTATGTACCTGAGGGCAGACATTTTTGTTCCATTAAATAGGCAGGCTGTGGTTTGCAGACCTACACAACAAATAATTCAGCGTTACTCATATTCCCATTGCAATTCTATAAAATATAAATGGGTCAGATCACTAAGGCTAGGTTCACACTGCCACAACTTGGGATCCGACTTGTGAGACCCCCAAGTCACATGACATGTGAAATCCCATGTTGGTCAATGAGAGCTGTCTTAATTAGCACAACAGAAGTTGCTCTGACTTTAGAAAAGGTTCCTGTACTACTTCAAGGTGACTTCTATCTGATTTGTGCCCATATACTTTAATGGAAGCTGCCTCCAAGTTGGATGCTTATCTATATTGATGTAATTTGGTTCCAACATTACAGGAAGATTACCCAGGCAAACTTGCATGGCATGAAACTTGCATCAAAGTCACCAGCAAAACACTAGGAAGTTGCCTGGCAAAGTCGTACTGTAAGTCGTACAACTTTCAGGTTGCAGTAGTTTTAACCAAGCCTAAGACATAGAACTAAGTAGAAAAACTGATCTGTATGTATGGTACATAAAAGCAGCTATCCTCACATACAAAATTGTAAAACTATATGAAATGTGAATACACATTAACAAGATTATTTACATTAAGCTGCTCACATTTACATGTTAACAACAAATAGTTGCAAAAATAAGCTTCACTTTAAAACGCATTAAAATATACCTAAACTTTAGAACAAAAATGCAATTTATTGCAGCTTATCAGTTCTAAGATGTGTTGGCTGCAATAGATTTCTTGATTTTTTTTCAGGTCAAGTACATTTTGTGCAAGTACAGATCTTGTTAAAAAAAAAAACAGTATTCTTGTCGCTTGTGAATTGAACTACAATCCCAAACAATGTTAGCTGCCTTTCAAACAATCCTTTAATAGGGATGTTCTAATGATGATGCAATAATGGAGATGAAGAAAAAAGGTTAGATTTTTAGTCCAAATCAAAAGAGATGCCTAGGGTGACAGTGTTGCTCCCGCATAGATTCAGTGGAGTATAGCCACCCTATTTGAAAATAAAGAGAAAACAGACAAAAATATGTAAATGATGCAGCCACCAAGTCCAAGGACCAATAAGCTGCAATATGTAAAATCTTGTTTTTTTGGGGGGTTTAGATACACTTTAAGGTTTTTCATTTGTTTACTGAATCTATAGGCAGGTTACTGGACCTTTGCTAGAAGGAACTAAAATGTGTCTGTCACTTGCAGTTTGATTGTATTTCTTTAACATGAACAATGAAAATGTAGTCTTGTAAAGTGCACCAATCAGAAATAATTATTTTCTGCTTTATTTAATTTTTCCAATCGGGACACTTTAAACATTTCAGCAAACAACTCAACAATGCAATCAGCCTGAAAAGAAATCCACCTATAGTCAGTATTGCCTCAAACATCTCATGAAACTATGATATTTCTGATATATTGGAAGTGGAAAATGATTGAATGTGAATTATACAAGAAAGAATGTATTTTTTCAAACTGTGCTAGAAAGGTGACCATTTGGTATGTCGCCTGTTTTATTTAGAATTATTTTTATCACACAATTATTTTTTTAAACATATACAGTATACATTGATCATGAGTATAATTGTACCTCGAGACATTCTGGGTAAGTGGAGGCAAATTTCTTCCAGTCTTCCAAAGAGTAATGCTTGTGAATTGCAGTAAACAGTGTATGCTAAAAGACAAATGGGGAACAATAAGCACAGCACGTTGACAGTTAAACATCAAGCAGTCAAATATGCTAAAATATGTGAACTACTGCAAAGAAAAGTAAATAAAGTATAGGAATTCAGCTACCTGAATCTCAGGGCTGTATTTTCTAGAGCAGGCAAATGCATGGGAATCAGAAAATAAATTGTTTTTCATAGATACAGTTCCCACTAATGCCTTGGAAGTGTTAGAAAAAATGTTCTGAGTGCTGAATTTTGGGTGTGCCAACCTGCAGTTTGCCATTGGCATCAATTCAATAGGCATCTTTTTTTCCACAATGCAATGTAACGTCACATTGTAAACACAATGGGGTTGATTTACTAAAGGCAAATAGACTGTGCACTTTGCAAAGTGCAGTTGCTCCAGAAGTTAGTAAATTATGTAAAACTTTACTTTGCAAAGAATACCCAATCACATGCAAGGAAAAATTAAAAAAACATAATTAATTTTTGCTTACACATGACTGGATGATGGAAGTCAGCAGAGCTTCTGCTCATTTACTAAGCTCTTGAGAAATTGCACTTGCAGAGTGTAAATACACTTTGCAAAGTGCACAGACTATCTGATTTTAATAAATCAATCCCAATATGGTTTCTGGAGAGACTAAAACCTTAAAGTATATGTGAACCCTCACCTTGTAAAACAACCCATTTAGTTTCAAATAGAAATAAAAGTCAAAACATTTGTGTATAGATTTCAAAATATTATAAATACCTTTTTCCCCTTTTTTTTAGTGATCAAATACCCTCTGTTCTCTGCTAAGGAGCTGGGGGAGAAGAAGCAGAGGCATACTGGTCTTTCCAGTTAATTGCTGTGCGGGGGGGGGGGGGGGGGTTGTTTGTGTCAGGGACGAGTCTGATTATTGGAGAGCATGGCTAGATAACTGACCACGGTGTGCTCTTATGCCTACTGTGGTCGGTTTCCAAAAGGAAAGCAGGGAGACTGGCAGGAGCACCAGGGATTTCACACAAAGGAATCAATACAATGCAAACAGGATACTTTTTCATACAAGCACATGGTACAGCAGGCACATATCAGGAATATGAAATTTTGGGTTTACATATTCGTTAACTGTAGGGAGTCTGATGCGTTTGCATAGATACTAGATAGCTGACCTAGTATGAAGTGTATAAAAAAGATGGGCACCAATAAATGTATTTTGCCATGTGGATGTTTGCACAGCTGTCAAATTGGGGGCAGGGGCTGTGTCTGTGCAGCTGCTGCATCCAATTGACATGAATGAGGCTGCCTGGATGGGGATACACAGAATGCCTGTGCATCCCTCTGCAGGTAAACACAGCCCTCTCATGGTCCTACATTTAAGTATGTCTGTGTGAACAAGGCCCTACTCTTTACTTCTTTAATTCTATCCCTGAGGTAGATACAGCCTCACAGCACTGCCTTCTGTTCATTCATAACAGTAAAAGGTAACTTAGTGCTGCAGTGCTGTGTGACTCACCTGCCGGTTCTGCGTTTGTTTACAAGCAGCCGCACACAGCTCATATAGCACTTTAGGCTGCAAGATCTTTTACCATTATGAATGGACAGGGAATGATCCTGAAAGTGCTGATTGTTCATTGATAAATAAAAGGTGAATTCCGCCATGTGGTGCTATGCAATCCAAAAAAAATAAAACCTGCTGGAGCTTGTATATTGATAAGCAGCTACAGAGAGCTTACACAGCACTGCAGGCTGTATGATCTGTTGTGAATTGGTCTCCAAAGCAGTCCAATGCTACCCCTGCTTTCAATTACAAATCTGTCTCTTTTTTAGCAGTGTGGTCAAACAGTGGCTGAAACTGTCATACACTTGATTCCCAATTCGAATATATAACAGCTTAACAGAACATCAGAAGTTGTTTTTTTTCACACATGCTCTGAATAAACCATGGCCATGTTGGGGGGGGGGCGTGATAATTCACATGTGTACATAAATTTCAGCTTGAGCTTTGTGCTCTGTAAACATCAGACTTTTTAACATCAAGCAAATCAAGTTGCTATAAAATGTAACATGGAACCTAAATATCCACCTGATGGTTTTATAGAAAATGACAAAATATTAATATGCAATATTTGTAATTAATAAACTCTGCGCCCCTGGATGGTGTTTTTGTATTTATATGGTATAGCTGCTGAGCACCATCTATTGCCCAATAGACAGTAGAAACCAACAGATTTTATAAGGCCTGGTTCTGCGCTATACAATACAATCCATGTGGGCAGCACAGTGGCCAAATGGTTAGCACTTCCACCTGGCAGTACTAGGGTTGTTGGTTCAAATCCCAACCATGGTTCCACCTGCCTGGAGTTTGCATGTTATCCCTGTGCCTGCATGGGTATCCTCCCACACCCCAAAGACATGCTGGAGGGTAAATTGGCTCCTGTGTAAATTGGCCCTAGTATGTGTATGAATGTAAAGTTAGGGACCTTAGATTGTACGCCCCTTGAGGGTTGGGGACTGATGTGAATATACAATATATATATGTAAAGTGCTGTGTAAGTTGACAGTGCAACATAAGTACCTGAAATAAAATAAATAATCTATACATTGTGTGAAACATGCAATTTTTATTACACCTTACCCTAAAGTGCTTAATTGCCAGTGCAATTATCAACCACTTCCCATCTGGCCCATGTACATAAACGGCCAGACAGGAGCAGTGCCGAAGCGGGTCACCTTTTATAAATGGCCCCCGCATTCACTGCCTGTGCGCGGAACCGTGATCTGGTGCTCACTGTGTCCCCCCTGAGTGACACAGCGGAACACCAATCACTGTACGGGACCTCTGTGTGAGGTTCAGATTCATGTGATCCCTGATTGGCCAATCAGTGATCACATGTATAGTAGGTAAAACAAGATGTCACTTCTGACATCATTGCTTACTACGTGTGAAATCTGTGAATGATAAGAGGTCACATGGTACAAAGCTATTCATAACAGCCTTGTTCCATGTGACAAGCTGTGACCTATCACAGCTCGCACAGTATTTCTCAATGGCTGCAAGAATTTCAGCCAGAGAGAAGGAGAAAATTATTGCTTTTTACAGCCTTTATGGGTGTAAAAGTAATCAGTGTAAAAAAAGAAAAAAAATCTTCATCACCCCCACAAGTAGTACAGTGTCACTATGTAAAAAAAAAAAACAAAAAACAAAACATAATAATTAGAGATGAGCGAATCGAACTCGGCGAAGTGGAATTCGTTTCGAATATTAGAAAAAATTTGCGCGCGGATGCGCGAATCGAAATTTTTCCAAAAATGGCGGCGACATGTGCGGCGACGGAGCAGGGATCTCTGGGAAGGCGCGCAGACAAGGCGCGCTGACCCATAATGCATTCATTCATGACATGTGATCGCATTAGCCAATCAGCAGCCAGCCAGCCAGCACTGTGTAATGGTGGAGCTATAAATTGCGGCCATCTTACAATTCTCCATTTGCCTCTGGTCATTCAAGAAAGACAGATCTCTCTATATTAGGGACACAGAATCGTTACTTAGGGACACAGAACCGTTACTTAGGGACACAGAACCGTTACTTAGGGACACAGAACCGTTACTTAGGGACACACAATCGTTACTTAGGGACACAGAACCGTTACTTAGGGACACAGAACCGTTACTTAGGGACACAGAATTAATGTATAAAGAAATAGCACTATCCTTTCCCAAAGTAGAATCCCCACCAAGTTACTAACACAATCCTTCCCCTGAAGTACAAAAATCATCAAAATATATAGTAGCTTGATTACCCTCTAATCACAAGAAGCCGAAGATGTTTGGACTTCAAGGCTTTTTTCCTTGTAGAAAGTGTAAAATTTGTAAAATCACAGGGATGAAAGAGAGGAAAATCACAACATTTACATCTTGTAAGACGGGGGAATCTTTTGCAATTAAGAAATTCATTACCTGCAATATGAAATATGTGACTTATCTATTAGAATGCCCCTGCCAAATTCAATATGTTGGTAGAAAACCAAGAGAGATTTGAAATTAGATTGAAGGAACATGTTGAAAATATAAAAAAAGGAAAGAAAGAACACAGTGTATCCAAACATTTTTGTGAGTGTCATGGTTCGGATCCGAGCCACTTGAAATTTTGTGTGGTATCGATGTCCTGGAATCCCATTGGAGGGGATGTAATAGGGTACAAGGAGATATCCAAAAATGAAACCTTTTGGATCCATAGGCTGAATACTTTAAAACCCAAGGGTCTTAATATCGAACTAGACCTAAACTGTTTCATCTGTCCGACCAGTAGTTGAATGCTCGAATTACCGGGTTAATTACTTATTTTAATTTTATTTTTATTTTTATTTTTATTTTTATGTTTTATTTTTATATTTCCTTGTAATTAGGAGAAGAAGAAGGGGAAAGGAGAAAAAGGAAAGAATATATTTTATAGTTTTTTGTTTTTTTTTTTAAATTAATTTTATTTTTTTTAATGGTTTATTGATTTAGAATTTTTTGAAGTATATAGTATTAATACTCTTATCTAGATGAGGCTTAGGGGATGGAGGGTTCTGTATTAAAGGATATATCTGGTGACATTCATAATTGGGAGGGAGGGAACTTACTGGAATCTATATAACTTATTGTTAATTTAGATATTTTATTTTAATTGTTTGTATAGGGGATACTATTGGACCCTGATTGTTGTTTAACACCCTTATGAAGTACTATGATGTCTTGGCAAAGAACGGTTGATATATCGGGAGGTGTGTGGGTAACAGTCTTTGCCATTTCAATAATGGCTTTATTGAAATGTTCCGTTCCAAAGGCCCTGTGTTCCGTTCCAATGGCCCTGATATGCTGTATACAAGTGAGTGAGGATATCTGTTGTTCCAGGATGTAAGATGGCCGTGGCAAATTATTTCCCCGCCTTGGTTGGTATTTAAGGGGAATGAGGAGTCACGTCCGTATCCCTGTTGATAAAGTCTGGATTGAACGAAACGACGTCTGGGGGGCACG